ATTTGCCTATTTTTAACTCCAAAGTGCATTACCTTGCATTTATCTACATTGAATTTCATCTGCCATACAGTTGCCCACTCCCCGAGTTTATCCAGGTCCTCCTGTAATGTTATAACATCTAAATCCGTGTCTATTACCCTCCCAATTTTCGTATCATCAGCAAACACTGAGACACGGCTACTTACTCCCTCCCCTATATCATTAATAAATAGGTTAAAAAGCATGGGACCCAGCACAGAACCCTGGGGTACGCCACTCCTGACCTCCACCCATTCCGAAAAGGTGTCATTAACTGATACTCTTTGTACACGTTCCTTTAGCCAGTTTTCTATCCACGTGCACACTACTTCATCTATGCCCATAGACCTTAGCTTGTATAACAAGCGTTTATGTGGCACCGTATCAAATGCTTTGGAAAAGTCCAGATATACTATGCCTACCGGCCTCCCTCCATCCAGATCTCTACTTACCTCTTCGTAAAAGGTCAGCAGGTTGGTCTGCAGAGCTGCATCAAGATCTTTTTTTTTGGTGAACTGGGATAAAGATCCACTTTAATTCCAAATTGAATTTCCTCTTGTAAAAGTGAAACAAATATGTCTACGTACATGTAAATGTATTTTAATGCTAGTGTGTTTTGAGAGATCCTCCTACGCATCTTTAGCTTCTTTTCCCCCTTACAAGTACAATGAAGATCCAGAGGTAATGACTACTCTATCCTATCCACACAATTTCCTTGAACTCCCTGTTGTGTCTACGGAACAGGAAGTGAAGGGAAATCTCTCAAATGGTACACAAATGGCAAAACAAAACCCAACAGGGTTTTTAAAGTGACACAAATTCAGTAGTTTAACATCTATTTTATTTTTTTTGCTGGTTGCTTGATAGCCATGTGCTCACTAAAACACTCTCAAGCAACCCCAGAAACTACAGTTATCTGACATCTACCAATCCCCATGGGTGCCGGATAACTAGGAGTTTACTGTACAGAGATTGTAGTCCATTGCAGGAGTGGTCTTGGAGCTGTGGCTACTTTACAACACACACAGGAACCATGGGGAACAAAAGTAGCCGCCTTCCAGAAGGAAGGACAGTGTCAGCACCAATTCAGAGATGAGTTGAGGATCTACAGCTGAGTGATACAGAAATAAGACACATTTTTATTAATAGTTCAGGTACTGAATTTGTTAAGGTTCAACTCCTCATTTCAGTGTCACTCTCTATCTATAACTACAAAAAACTTTTGTCTTTAGATACACTTTAGGGCACAAACTGAGGTTCTGGAATATGACATAATATATATACATTGTGTATTGCTATTTTTTGCAAAAATGTTTCTATTTAAATGTACACAGCTGCACATATTGTCAGCAATAAAAAATATATATATATCCTGCAACATCTCAGTTACATTTAAAATGTTATAGATTAATATTTTGTATATACTAGCAAAAAAACCTATAATTTAATTAAATAAAAAACATGTTACTTGTGTTGTTGAGCAAAAAATACCACCGGTTTTATTGGCGTAGGACGCTTATGTGCAGCCATTTTTTAATGTGTAAACACATATCCTAATTATAGAGCAGTGCCTTATTTTCTGCTTTCTAAATAACATTTTAGTTGAGTAATTATGCTAGCCATATGCATTGGCACATGACACATCATATCATCATATAGAATGTATGTCCTGAGTGTCAGGAAGTACTGACTCAAAAATATTATGCTTCATAGGGAGGGCAGTAATATTACAAATGGTAATTCTGTAATTCTCAAATGCCAATTGGTAATTCTCCATCTTTAAAACTAGTTGATTGCTATGGGTCACTACATTTTACACATCGCTATTGCTCTTTTCACTGGTTTAAAAATAAGATTAAGTTAATCTTCAGTAATGAAGAAAAACAAGTATCAGTTGAAAAAAAATGAATGTTCATATATTAATACATTTTTTTTCTGTGAAATGCAAATTATGCTATAGTTTTTTGCCTTTAAATTGTATTGTTCTCACCTGCCTTGTTTTTCACCGCTTATTTAATGTCTCACTTCTTTTTATTAGTAAAAGAATAGATAATGGATTAAAAAAAAAATTTGCATTGTGATGACCAACACAATATTAACAACAATTGTAATTCAGCACAGCAATAAAATGTAATCACACATTAATACATGTTATGAATAATTGCCTTATAGTGATGTACAATAAAACACAGTGAGGGGAATTTTTCAAAACTGGAGCAGACAGAATCTGGAGCAGTTGCCCATGGCGACCAATCAGCTTCTCTCTTCGGTTTGTTAAGTTAAGATTTGAAAATAAAGAGAAGCAGATTGGTTGCCATGCACAGCTGCTCCTCTCTCTGCTCCTCTCTGAGTGGAATAAATTCCACTCAGGGAAATCAACAAATGAAACAATTCTGCATAAAAAGATGTTTCACATACCTCTTTATAACACCTTGTCTTGTAAATATACTTAGTTCCAGGTTATGGATAATCCCAAGAATTTAGAGAACATGCTCACTGAGAGCGCTTCAAGCTGAAATGAAACTTGCAATAACATCTGTTGTCACAAGAAACGTATGTGATTTCCTGAGGATAGGCCCATTCTGGGAAACAGTGTTTCCTGTAAAAAAAACTCTTCATTGTTGTGTAGCTAGATCATAATTCCAGATTGTCAGGAATATTCAGCCAACTTCCTGACACAAATACTATAGAGAAGCGGCACAAATGTCTGCATATCCTAAAAGTGTGTGCTACTAAAGTTCAATTTCAAACCCTCCTATTTATCTTTCTTCACTTATCTTTGGATATCTGATTGCGTGGGATCTAGACATTCAATGAACTGAGGATTGCCCTGGGTTTTATTTTCCCCTGCAAGAATTACAAAGCCCCTTTCTCCTCTTCCCACTCCCTTGGGAGAATAATAACTTTCAGTTGGGAAAATCCAACCCCTCTATGTCAATCTGACATGGATGTCGGAAGAGGTCTGTAGTAGCACATAAGTATGTGGATCATCACCCCAATATTTCCATATTTAGCAGGAGAGCATGACGATTATTTATTGCCTAGTAGTCAGCCAATGACACAGCTCTCAGTTTTTCTGATGGAACATTTCATTATTTCCTGACAAACCTTTTTACCCCTATCTTTTATTAGCTTGCCCAGTGTTTTTTTTCCTATGAGACCACAGGTGCACACTAGTGATGGGAACGTTATAAAAGAAAAAATAAGGTTTTAAATGGTTGATAAACATCCAAATGCAATTCTGTATCCTACAAGTGTCCACACATGTTACAATTAGTTTGTGTGATCCTTTATTCGATGTTAAAATCCAACACAAGAAAACACTGGCTTGTGGAGCTGTTTTCACTATTTCCAGTTAATGTTTTTTAGGGTTCAATAAAAGAATGATTGGCCGCATCAGAAACATTTCTGATCTTTTTTTAGAAGGGGATAAATGTGTAGCTTATTGAATTATTTCAGTTAAAGTGTAACTTTAGAAACATTTTTGACAGCATCTAATTGACTTTTTTAAGTGAAAATTTGACAAAACTGTAAAAACAGAAAAATCCATACAGCTAATTGAAAGAGAATAACAGAGATCTTGGATACAGCTTAAAAAAAAAAAATAAACTTTAAAAGGGATCTTTATAATCTCAACAAATAATAATAAGTTATAATAAAATCTCAAAGTAATTTTTTTTAAATGCAAGGTAAAACCAGTATTTAATTACAAATAAACAATTAAAGTATATTTAAATCCAATTTGAACATGTTTTTTTTTAATTTATCATTTTTTAATGTAATCAAAAGTATTTTTTTTTTATTTTTTGTTACAAGCCCCATATGTGATAGCACAGAACAGGTGATAGGTGCAATAAAACAACACCCTGTCCCCCAATTGTTCTCCTGCACTCTCTCACTGTCACGCAGGTTTCAATGACTATGAATGGTTTCAAGCTACATAAAAAAAACCCACCCTGAGAAATGTTATACAGGCATCTCTAGATTGTATGTATTTAGACAGAGAGTGGCTACAAAGAGGCTGAAAAAGATCAACAGCACTAATATCAAAAAAATATTTTAAAAATGGAGAAAACAAGTATTTTTATTAAAAACATAGTGATATGCAAAATAAATGTAATTCAGTTAGCGTTTACATCAGTTAACCCTCTGTTACATATCCATAGCTTTTACAATGTATGGCCTTTTTTTTGCCTATAAAGACTTGTGGCCATTACATGGTTGCTTAGCCCTTTAACATACTTTGTGTTCCAGGATATTTTCCTTCCCCACCCTACCATGTAATTTCCTTTGGCTTTACAATAGTTAGTGTGGTGTTATTGTATTCAGAATTATAGCTGTAGTTACCAAAAGTGTCTAAAACAAGCAAAACTATTTGGATGGATGCCTTTTTTTCATACAGAGGTATGTATGAGACAGCATCCGTTGGACAGCAGGCTTGCATAACATTTCTCTGTTGTTTTACAGCATAATTTTTAGTCTTATGCTGGGTGCTTGGACAGTAGGGTTGCCACCTGTCCAGGATTCACCCGAACAGTCCGGGTTTTGAAAGCTGTGTCCGGGTTTCATGGCAGCAGGAACCCAGACACAAGATGTCAGGGAGACAGGGGCAACCAAAATTAAGATAGGGGCTACTGGCCCCCCACTGAAAATAGTCTCAACTGTGATATTTACATATGAATGGGCGGAGCTATTTACACATGAATAAGACACGACTCATTCTCCCCAAAAACTGTCCGTGCGTCGCTAGAGTGTTCGGGTTTCACTTGAAGAAAGGGTGGCGACCCTATTGGACAGCTGCCTCCAAATAACCACCACATGTTTACTGACTTAAAGCCCATTTCCACCTTTGTAAGTGATAAGCATTTATTGTGGTAATGAAGAGGTGCAGTGATGATGTGTATGTGTGCACATTTTTATGACTCCCTTTGCTGGCTTTCTTCATGTTTTTATTAAGTTTTTATTAGGCCCGAATCCTAGATATTCTAAATTTTCTCCACAGGATACTCATTCTGACACCGGGGTCAGATTGTAAAGCAGCTGACCCCCTCCCTGTGATTCTGTGTAACATGATCACTAAACACCAGTTCTGCCCTAACCATTCAAGAAGCTCCCGGTAGGCCAGAAAGCAGTTAACACACAATACACTGTCCGGGAATGGGGGGGGGGGGGCGGGGCTGGGGATGCCTTTACAAAAA